ATCGATATATCGATACTTAGGATCGATATGCCCATCCCTAGTAGAGTGTTTGTTTTTGTGTACGGCTCGATGGTGGCGTCTTAATATTATTTTGGGCTACGGTGTTTTATCTGTTCACATTCGATACTGATTGCAAACTGTCATTCACAATGCAGGTGAAATATAATTTTTGATGTACATTGACTAAAATCCAAAGAATTGACAGTACTGCATTACAATAAAATTCACCTATATGAAAATAAACTGTTTTTTTAGAGTAAAAGTGTAGAAACCATGTTTTTTGCAGATTGATTGCCATTTGTATAACCACGGTTTAAAAAAAATAAGCTAAACTATAGTTAGTGTAGCACAACCATGTTCATTTGTGGTTACCATGGTTTTGGTAATTTTAATTTTCATAAGGGTAGTCAGGATTTTCCTTTGAAATCGGTGCAGGCTAGGTCATTTTTTGTTGTAAACCACATAGAAAACTATCCAGACTGTTCTATATTTAAGGACACCATACTCTCTTCTGCTTAAACAATATGACCCATTATCATGATTAGTGTTACCTGTTTGGGAAACTTTTTTTTATTGTGAATTAAGTCAACCTGTTATAGTTAAATGATTGAATTGCATCTAACCAGAAGTACACTGTAATATAATGTTACAATCCACATACATTTGTTGTTGTTTTTCAATAATCGAGTAGCACTTATGCTGTATATTTCAGCAAGTTGTGTTTTCAGAATTTGCCATATTTTCCCAATCTCTGTGCAAGATATGGTTACACTTTATTTTGATAGTTCACTTTAGACATTCTACTAATTATAAGTAACTTTGCAGCTGCATGTCTACTGACTCTCAGAGTGGACTGTTAGGTTAGGTTTAGGGTTAGTAGAATAAGTTGACATGGTCAGTATGTCACAATGCAGGTGAAATATAATTTTTGATGTACATTGACTAAAATCCAAAGAATTGACAGTACTGCATTACAATAAAATTCACCTATACGAAAATAAACTATGTTTTTTTAGAGTAAAAGTGTAGTAACCATGTTTTTTGCAGATTGATTGCCATTTGTATAACCACGGTTTTAAAAATAAATAAGCTAAACTATAGTTAGTGTAGCACAACCATGTTCATTTGTGGTTACCATGGTTTTGGTAATTTTAATTTTCATAAGGGTAGTCAGGATTTTCCTTTGAAATCGGTGCAGGCTAGGTCATTTTTTGTTGTAAACCACATAGAAAACTATCCAGACTGTTCTATATTTAAGGACACCATACTCTCTTCTGCTTAAACAATATGACCCATTATCATGATTAGTGTTACCTGTTTGGGAAACTTTTTTTTATTGTGAATTAAGTCAACCTGTTATAGTTAAATGATTGAATTGCATCTAACCAGAAGTACACTGTAATATAATGTTACAATCCACATACATTTGTTGTTGTTTTTCAATAATCGAGTAGCACTTATGCTGTATATTTCAGCAAGTTGTGTTTTCAGAATTTGCCATATTTTCCCAATCTCTGTGCAAGATATGGTTACACTTTATTTTGATAGTTCACTTTAGACATTCTACTAATTATAAGTAACTTTGCAGCTGCATGTCTACTGACTCTCAGAGTGGACTGTTAGGTTAGGTTTAGGGTTAGTAGAATAAGTTGACATGGTCAGTATGTTGTATGTTGTGGACCCATCATAATAAAGTGTTAGAAGATATTAAGCAGGCAGTCTACTAATACTCTACTAACTGCTAGTTGACATGTAGTTGCAAAGTTACTTACTGTTAGTAGAATGTCTAAAGTGGACTATCGAAATAAAGTGTTACCCAAGATACTGTATCTGCAAACTGTGTTAATGGTTGTGTTCGCAGTTTTTGAGCTTGTTTTTTGAAGCCGTCGCTGAAGCAGCTCTCTAACAGCTTATAAAACGCACTGGATTGCAAAGTTGCGCAAACGTCTGCTTCGTAAACCCTTGAAGATCTGAAAACGAGCATCTTTACAGCTGAAAAGTGTCGTGACAGATGT